CATTTACACTTCCTTTAATTTTCATTTAATTCCATTAGCCGGCCGGACAATTACACAGGTACTTCCCTGATACAGACAACATAAACACTTCTGCCAGGTGTTAAGTGCTAACTGTGTGAACATTGTTAGTCATGTACTCAATTTAGTTTCATTTTACCAAAAGCGGTTTAGTTTGCAGTTGTACTGAGTTGTTAGTCTGTGGCCTGCTGTAGTTAATGCTTAGCCATTAGTACTTTGGTTAAATATTTGAAGAGCTGCTTTGTGTTCGTAGCGCTGCTAAACACTATACAGATGACGGTACTGTGATGTATGTGACATGTGGCTCAGGAATGTTATTAGCTGTTTATTTTACAATCTTAGACTCTCTCACACACATATGTGCCTCATATTTACTACTGCCTATGCTGATGCCTTTATGAAGAAAGCTCACTCTTCATCCTCTTCATCACACTCCAGAGTGAACCACACCTACGACACAGGCCTAACATGATGTATTCACTAATATTCATTATATTATGTGTGTTGTGACATTGCATAATAAACACGTGATACTTAAAGAGAGACAAATTTCAGAAAGTTAAATATTTCATATATGCTTCATTTCAATATGCGCATATATGTGTGTGTAAGCAGGAGTTTTAATGTGTGACAAAGTATGGGACTGTAAAAAGATTGGGAACCCACTGCTGGAGATGATACCCATGATATACTCAGCAAAGTATATGATGATGTCATTTACCACAAAAACAACAACATATCATGCCCATGCCCTCCTTAAACATTTCATACGAACATTCCAGCAAATTTCCTACAGATTTGCAATCACAGGGTCCTACAGAATATAGGTATCACACATTCTACAGTCTCTAACACATGCTAGATGTCAACAGCTGTGGCTTGATCCCACCAACCATGACAGGCAAAACATTTATATCTTTTCACCCACATGCTTGAAGGTGTAATATGTAACACTGTTGTGGTTCTGTTAGGGCTTCAGGGCTGTATGTAACTGCTATTACTAAAAGAGGCACATCTACCACAGGCAGAGAACGAGTCATAAACAAGTTAAAAATGGATCCGCTGGAGCTGGATAGCGTCTCAATGCCTCAGTGAGGGAAGATAATGGATGCTGCTGGCTGCAGAAAGGAGAGATTGGCGATGTGACTCAAAATACTTGATCAATTCAGACCCGTTGCATTTCTGCAGCAGTCTGGCACAAAATACAGCTGATTGGCCAGTTCCCCACTTATTACACACTCTCAAAGCTAGAATGCCAGATTCACTTCCACACAAAAAGCATGCATCTCAGAGGTTTAGCACTGACTTACATTGAAATTTTCCTGAGTGGTTCTCTGAGGTGAATAAAAACATGCCAGCCTCATTTACTCTGGCAGTGTCTCTACGGTCAGTCTAAATTTTCATCTACCATCTGTCTCGGAATCTCTGTATCTCTGTGCATCACATGCATTGCTTTCAGTAAAAACATGCAGATGAATCCCTGTGAAGCTTAAGTGATAAATCTCACAGGGAATCTGTGACACTGTCTGTGTGTAAAATTGCAGTTTGTGGTGGTCTGTGTTCATATTAAGCAGTGAGATGTTAAGTGTGAAATGCTAACCAGACATACTCTGAGAAAACATACAGATGCTTTGTAGGGATGCATCGATATGGGAACTATGGGCTGATATCCAATATTTTTCATGTACGTATCTGCCAATGCCAATGCCGATATATAGACTTTTATAAAATGTTAAAACTGAGACTTAATCTACCTGGATTAGCATTACAGAGGACTACAGATACAGTAAAATAATAAAATGCAGATATTTCAGCCCAGTAGTCCAGAGTACAATACATTTGTCAGCAATTATCAGTTTGAAATATCAGTCAAATCTAAATATCTGTCCAATGCTGACAACTTTTTTTGCAGACACAGAGATCATTCCAATATCCACCAGGAATGCTTTGTTTCAGATTTCAATTCAAAGCCCTAAAAAGAGTGTTAATGTGCTTTAGAGAACAGTCACTTATAAATCAAATAATAGGCTGTCTTGACTTCATATGAAAATTTTAATGAGGGTAATGAAATTAGTCACATGGCCAGAGCCATTTACTTTAAGCCTGCACCTTAGACAGATGATGTCTGCATCAGAGCTCTTTGAAAGGAAGTCAATAAAACAGATACAATGTTACAGTCATATGCAAAAGGTTGAACACCCCTGGACAAATTAAAAAAGGTGAAATAAACTTAAATCAAATTGCATTGCACTTAAAAATGGTAGATGTGCAAAATGTTATTTCACATTTTATATTGTATGGTTTATTTTTCCAATAGGAAAATATACACAATATAAAATGTGCAATAACCATGGCATGGATCATATTTTACATTGTATTATTATTTATCCCAAAGTGTTAAGTTCAGCAATTAAATAGTAATTGTGTAATAAAATGTGCAGAAGTGGGTTTTCTGTAGAGGATGTGTTCACTTATTTTCACTTAGAAAATCAACAAAACATGTAATTTGACCAGGGGCACCCAAACTTTTGCACACAACTGTGTATATAGTATGTTATAATACAGTAACAACTACTATATTTCATGCATATAATCTTTAAAAGATGTATTATGGATCCTTTAAAAAGATTGTACTGCCACATTTGATGCTCACAACAGATGCAAACATGTGGCTCACATTTACTGTTGATAATCATAACTATCAACTGTTTCATTCATATTATCTTAACTTTGTCTGATATATTGGACATGATAGAACATCATGGGCCAATAAACACTACAACATTTCCATCATTAAATCATTATGCTGGCTCACTGTTTTCTGACTGACTGTGTTTTGGGTCAGATAAACACTTTGATTATAACAATGCATGGCAAAATTATTCTTCAGATGAACAAAAACATTATTTTTCATCAAATCAAACCTCAAATGCACTTTGAATCAGCAATTGCCCTGTTCCACGTTTTACAGTGTACTTTCTTAACAGAACAGACCTGTGTCTGTAGCTTCCATTCAAGCATTCCTTGCTACCACTCAGTATACTCCAAAAACTGCACTCTGAATAGCTTGGCTAGCTGTATGTTACTTGCAGAGCAGCAGAGCAAACTGTTCTGCTCTGTCAGCAATAGTAGGGAAGGTCAATCAATCAGCCCTAGCCAAACCTCCACAGTCCAGTTCCTCTGTAGTCAGAGATTTTAAAGGGCATCCTGCAGGACAGCACTGATGACTACTTACTGTGCAACATTGAGATTCCATTTATACTTAGAATATCCAAGCAAACTAATAATGTGTATGTAAAATATATATAAAATATATCTCTCTCGCTCTCGCGCTCTCTCTCCATGTATATATACAAATATATATAGTCAAATCATCTGACTGATACTAGCATACTATCTGTATAAAATATCCTTACATGAATAATGTAAACATATCTTAACCTGACATGAATGGTGTTAACAACTGCTTTAAGGCCAGCTTTATTATGTCTTACTCCTATAAGCAAAACAACAAGTCTGACCCACTTTCCAATAATCTGGGGTCTGGGCAGCTAAAAAATGACTCACCAATACACTGCCAATTATTTCCAAAGTATTTCAGAGCAGATAAAATAAAACAATGCCTACCATTCAGTCATCACATTCTTTGAAGCCAGCAGGAAAACATCAAGAACATCACTCATGCCTTTAGATCAATACAACCCAGGAGGGACCAAAATGGTGCTCCACAAGGGATTCCTCAATTAGAAAGAGAGAGTTGCAGGAGCTCCAATTTCCAGGCAACAAGCAGAGAGAGAATTAAGGCAGCAGTTCAATATTCTGGTAAAGGCTTCACAATATGGAAAAAAAATACTAATTGCTGTTACTAAGTAAAGGAAAATAGAGAAGAAAATTAGCAAATTAAACAACAAAGCTGCTGGTGTTCTCAGAATGATGGACTGACCACCAAGACCCCAGACCTCAACATTACAGAATGTGTAGAAGCAGAAAACGCAACTAATTTCTAAGACTGAACTTTGGAGTTGTCAAAAAAAAATATCCCTGCAGATTTCTTTGGAAAACTGAAAACAAATCTTCCAAAAAGAATGGAATGATTCAGTTATTAAGGCATCTATGTAATTTTCTGTTAATATGTTTTTTCCTTATTTCCCTGATCCTGAAAAAAGGATAACTTTTACTAAATGGCTATTCTGACTGAAATACATGATAGGTGGTGTTTGATTTTGTGCAGTACTATAGGCTTTGTTGCATATTTCACACTCAATATATCATCAATCATATTTCACAAACACCTTTAACAATTAATTATGATTTGGGGACAGCTTACCATCCCTGTCATAGAGCAGTTTAGCTAATCAAATGACTACTGAGACAAGTGTGAGCTACCTGCCTTCTTCCTGCAAATAACAAACCTCATAGTGAAACCATACTGAATCCAGTAGTGGTGATGTCTGGTTTATTTGTGATGCAATTCACAAATAAATAATGCATGATGCATGAGGCCAAGCATAATCTTAGGAAATCAGAGCAATCTTGCTGAAGACTAGCTAGGGGCAGCACTTCACGTTTTGTTTTTAGACAAAATTAAGCTGTACCAGCATGCGAATGTGGGCGTCCACTGTACAACAATAGCAGCAACTATCATTAAACAGCAAAGCTCCACTGCTGAAGTTAAAATACCAAACCGGGTCTATTGTAATGATCTGTAATCGGCTCCATTTTGGACACATTAACCCAGTGTTTGAAGTAACAGGGCGGCTCTTGCCAGATCTCCTGAGGGGGAGATATGGGGGATTCTGAGCCTTGGCCCAAACGGAGAGTGTATAACTGCCATCTTTCCACAAGATGTGCCCAATGGATCTGGCTAGTGCTAAGTGCTAATCTAAAGATCAGATTTCCAAAGGATTTAGCAACAGCAATTATATTTTTTATGAAAGCTCTGCAGCTCAGATAATAAACCTGTACTCAAACAACTCACTTACCTTTTAGTGCATTCCACTGGGCTCATGACAGGTCCATCCACTCATGCTCTCAGTGCTTTTAGCTGCTTCCTGTTTCGCTCATAGCCTCCTGTTAAGCTACAACTGATTGATAGTGAGAGAAAGAGACAACCAGAGAGAGAGAGAGAGAGAGAGAGAGAGAGAGAGAGAGAGAGAGAGAGAGAGAGAGAGAGAGATAATATCACACTGATTCATGTTAAAGTCTGGTACTGGCTGTATGCATTGAGGATTCTCGTTACATGCTCTGTTTTGTTGCTGCAACCCATTAGTCGTAGCCGCTTAGTTGGTAGTTCCTCTTTAGCTTTTCTTCTTTCACTTCAGTTTAACACATTTGAAGGTCCTTCTACTCTTAAGCTGCTAATGCTGCCAGAGGCGTAACATGTGAACAGGGAATTACTGCTGTAGTCATTAAGATGCTAAAAATCAGCCCCATCCCCCATTACATATTCAGAGCATGCCTACTGCACCTGTTCCCTAATCACACCCACTAACCTACGGGGGACGTGGATTAGACAGACATGTTATATCTGTGTTTCTCTTTGTGGGTGTGTTCATGTTTCTTCTGTACATGGCATGTATGCATGTGCAATTGTTGCATATGGTGAAATTTCGGACTTCACAATGATTTGATTTATGTCAATTCTTTAGGAGATGATACAACAATGGGATTTCAAACTACAATGAATACACCAATGTGAATGGAGGATCTGTCATAAAGTACATTTTGATCTTATTTTTATATTTGAAAATCGCTCGAGAATTTCATTTTGGTCAGAAATTTAAATGCAGGAAAATGCAGTAAAATTCAAATCTAAACATCTGTCCAATACTGCATATTTTTAAAAGCAAATATGTGCTGATACCAATATGATTCCAGCATCATTTTGAATCCTTAGTTATTCTAAATGATTATCATATACAGTACTGTGCAAAAGCACTCGAGAACATTAGATTATTGTTATTTATCTGGTCAGTGGGTGTTTATTTGCTTAAAAAACACTATTATTACAATAAATACAAATAACATGAACCCCTTAAAATCCCAGGGGTTATTACATCCTAAAGCTTATTATTCAATAACTAAAGGGACTCTAATATAAACTGAGTTATTCTTAGGTTTTATTCTTAGGTATTTTAGGTTTTGGTTTGTCTGATCAATATTTCAATATTTCATCTTCAAGTTAAATCTAGTGTACCATGCGATGACTGTGGGCATCAAAGTGAAATGTGGAACCAAACTTGTGCACTTCTAACAAGCTGATATCAACTACTTTTTTGAAAACAAGAGATTTTTTTGTTACTTTTGCTGCATTAATGTTTGTTTGCATCTATTCTTATAGTGTTATAAGGAGAAACAAACTTCCTGCCAAGGTAAATGGTTTTAAACAATTTGCTTAGGTGCCTAAGACATTTGCACAGCACCGTTTACAGTGTTAGGCAGAATACTTTGAAAATAGTGAATATTGAATACACTCTCCTAAATGTATTCAGTAAAATATTGCATTCCCGTACATAGAAAAGTAACATATTCAGAATACATTCCGAATACATATTAACAAGGTATATGGGGAAAACCTGCAGTTGTAATTTTTAATTCACGCTGTTTCTTGCTGTTATTTGTTGGCAGTTTTCTTCATGTAATTCTATTTATGTTTAAAGAAAAGCTAACTTATTTAAAATGAAGTTTCAAAACTCAGCATTATTTTGGCTCTCATTGCCTGCTTCAGTCCACTGCTCCTCCCACAAGCCCACTGCCATCTCATGAAATACGCAAACAGTTTGTCACATCCCAAAGCTAATTTGACTATAAAGTGGGTGCTATGTGATTTTCAGTTGATGGCATGGTTTGTTTTTAATTTAGTGGGCAAGTATACTAAAAGTGTTCTTCTAAGAATTTAAACTATCCTCAATATTTCCTTTACAGAATGTAACTTGGACTGAATACAGATATTTAATTCCTGTGTTCTAAATACATATTCCCACCACTTGTATGTATATCATAATTAAGCGCACATTACTACACAGCATTTAAATTAATTATAATAAATTCTGCTACTCCAGAATTAATGCATTAAAATCACCACCTTCAGACTGATGTGCCATAATGCACTGATGCCTTTTAACCCCACTGCTCTCTAATGTCTTAGCTCAAGCAGCGATGGTGAGAGCAGTTCCAGCACGTTCAGCTCTCTGAACTGGAGTGTTCATGAAATATTAACTAAGGAAAACACAGGCCGCGCCCCTGTTCCTCTACAACCAACCCTCATTCGCTTTATCTGAGGAGAAAAAAAAACAGCTACAGAAGCCAGAATAACTAATAGGTGTTTTTCAATATGACCAAGCCAGATGGAGGTTATGTAGACCTTCATAAATAAGTCATTACACATTAAAATGTCTCTAATAATCACATTTAGCTCATATGTTACATGTGTTGTTTGAATCCTATTGCAGGGGTGCCCAGTCCTGGTCCGGGAGATTTACCAACCTGCATAGTTTAGCTCCAATCACAGTCTATCACACCTGATAAAGGCCATCTAATAAAGGCCTGCAGGGGCATCTGAATAATAGAGCCAGGTGAGTTGGATCTAAACTCTATGGGGTAGTAGATCTCCAGGTCCAGGATTGGGCACTCATGTCCTATTGTATTATGTGTTCTGGAAGTTGAAATAGTACAAGTACAAGCAAACTAGGCAGCATAAAGCATATATAGCACTTGAATAATCACTGTCTTTAAGCAGTATTCATATTAGAAAAATGAAACCTAAAAAGAGAACCTGCAGAAAACGGCAATGTCTTAGATAATGCATGCAGTGTGTTGCTCTGCTCCCAAACTGTCTATACTATAAAGTACACAAGAGACAAAAAGTAAAACACACAAAAACATGGTATAAAACCACAGAAGACCATGTACAGTATCTGTCTAGCTTCTGCAACAGTGCACTTAGAGGTCTTTGTGCCAGTGTGACTTCCTCTCTGCTGCTGTATGGAGAACACTGCTGAATTTCTCCTTATTGCACCACAACAGCTCACTCCAAACACACAAAACAGACTACTGCTCTAAGTTTGATCATAAACAGACATTTTTTTCACAGTTGTGCTATCAGGCTGTACATGGGACTGCAGCCAGCAAGATCAATGTTTGGTAGCTGTATGCAAATCTACTCATACGTAATGCCAGAATGCAAATGAGCATTTGCTCTGTGTAGGACATTCAGGCAGGGTTGTTAGAGCTGAGACAGGTCCATTAATTCTGGGATTGATTAACTAATTAAGTTGGATTCAGTTAAACACAAGCCAAAAACAATGCAGCATTAAAAAAAACAAAGACCTTCACTAAAACTAAAAGCAGACTGTTGTTTAGCTTGACTGAGGCTTTAAGGATAAATCATGAATGCAACTTTGCTATTTTATATATTTTACAATATATATATATATATATATATATATATATATATATATATATATATATATATATATATATATATATACCCTATACACTATATGGACAAAAGTATTGGGACACCTACACCTAAATGAAGCTTTTATGACAACCCATTCTAAATCCATAGGCATTAATATGGAGTTGGTCCCTGCTTTGCAGCTATAACAGCTTCCACTCTTCTGGGGAGACTTTCTACAAGATTTTGGAGTATGTCTTTGGGATCTGTTGCCCATTCATCCAAAAGAGCATTTGGGAGGTCAGACACTGATGTTGGACGAGAGGGCCTGGCTTGCAATCTCTGTTCTAGTTCATCTCAAAGGTGTTTGATGTGGTTGAGGTCAGAACTCGCCCAACCACACCTTTATGGACCTTGCTTTGTGCACTGGGACAAAGTCATGCTGGAACAGAAAAGGGCCTTCCCCAAACTGTTCCCACAAAGTTGAAAGCATACAATTGTCCAAAATGTCTTGGTCTGCTGAAGGATTAAGATTTCCCTTCACCGGGAGGGTCCTAGGCCAACCCCTGAAAAACAACCCCATTGCATCATCCCTCCTCCACCAAACTTTACAGTTGGCACAATGCAGTCAGGCAGGTAGAGTTCTCCTGGCATTCACCAAACCCAGACTCATCCATCAGACTGCCAGACATAGAAGTGTGATTTGTCACTCCACAGAATACATTTCCACTGCTCCAGAGTCCGGTGGCGGCGTGCTTTACACCACTCTGTCCAACGCTTGACATTGTGTTTGGTGATGTAAGGCTTGAATGCGTATGCTCAGCCATGGAAACCCATGCCATGAAGTTCCCGGTGCACAGTTTTTATGCTGATGTTAATGCCAGAAGAGGTTTGAACTCTGCAGTTATTGAGTCAGCAAAGCAATGATGACTTTTATGCACGGTGCACCTCAGCACTCGCCAACCCGCTCTGTAAGTTTACATGGTCTGTCACTTCGTGGCAGATGCTTCCACTTTTCAATAACACCACTCACAGCTGATCGTGCAATATCTAGAAGTGCAGAAATTTCACGAACTGACTTGTTGCAATGGTGGCATCCTATTACAGTACTACGCTCAAATTCAGTGAGCTCTTTCAAGCAACCCATTCATGCAGACTGCATGGCTAGGTGCTTGATTTTATACACCTGTACTAATCAGACTGAAGGAAACATCTGAATTCAATGATTAAGATGTGTGTCCCACAACTTTTGTCCATATAGTGTATGTATGTATGTATATAAAAAGCAAAAATGTTGCAAAAATGAGTTCACAAAAGTTATACAGACATGAAAAAGCATTCAATAAAGGGGAATTCAACCAATGTTTAAAAGGATTTCTGCATAACTCTGCATAATGCATTCAGAGGTCTTTCATGTAAACTCAGATTTCTTTACAGTGGTGGTGATAGGACCCGGGGTCACCATGTGTACAACACAAATATAGACATTTTATGTACTATTCAAAACCTCCAGTGAACCTACACGTGTCTTTTAAGGTTTGTCAAATGTAATTTTAACCACAACTTATCTCAAAACTATTGTAAAACAATGACTCAGACATCAGGCAGCATACTCGTAACTGTTTAATGCGATGACTTTTTGTGAGGGAGCTTTTAGAGGCATTAAACACTTAAGACGTCTGGTTCCTATTAGCACCACTGTGAACAGTTCTGACTTAAGCTCTTTCTAAAATGTAGAATTTCACATCAAACAACTCTGACTGACTTTGTCTACATCTTGACCATTTAATTAAGCAGAGTTTGAAAAATCGGTGGAATTCCCCTTTAAAGCAAAGAGCTTATGAAGGCATAGCGCTCTCTCTCATATATACAAACACAGAGAGAGGGAGAGAGAGAAAGAGAGAGAGGGAGAAAGAGGGAGGGAGAGAGGGAGAGAGAGAGAGAGAGAGAGAGAGAGAGAGAGAGAGAGAGAGAGAGAGAGAGAGAGAGAGAGAAAGCTGTGCGTTGTTATGGACATATTAAACGTATCCATCATTAGACATAACATTCACAGATAGATACATCTAACATTACCTACGAACTCGTGCGCGCGCACCACACACACAAACACGTACCCCACACAAAACGGACACTTCGGTTTGAGCACACACTGTACATGTATAACCCGGTTAGAGCCGAATGATCCAGGTCACGCGCGCAGTGAGAAATGTCCGCGGAGCCGCGCGCTTTATCGGCACAGCCGCCGGATCCCCGCAGCCGGTCACAGCAGCGGCCAGTGCACCATCCAGCCGCGTCCCTCACTGCGCTGCACCGCAGGCGCCTGAGGTGACAGGTAAACAGCCCTGCACTCCGCACGCGCTGCTCTCCGCTGAGAGCCGAGTGAAAAGCTCTTACCGAGGCTGAGAGCGCTCCGGGGCTGCTCCGCACGGCTGCTGTGCGCTGTCTCTCTCGGCATCCTCGGCGCAGAGATGCAGGGATGGAGGGATGGAGGAGTGGAAAGAGATGGCAGGCACGCTAACGTATAGCACAGCGCGGATGCTGAACGTAGGAGTCTAATGGAGTTTGTCACTTTGCATAAAATGTGCTTGCAGCGCCGCTTACTGGCGGGCTGAGCGCTCACAGTCCTCATCACTAAAGCTGACAGAGCTGAGAGCAGAAACACAGCAGAGACGCGATACCGCTCAGATTCTCCTCAGTCCGATGCCAGATCATAAGGAGACCCCGATACAGATACTTGTAAAGTTCTCTTGTATTCAAAAGTTTGAGAGTTTGAACCACTTCAGACTGCTGCCGTCTCACTGTCCTTGTTTCATGTGGTTCATATGGTTCAGGCAGATCTCTAGCTTAGTCAGTTGTTAAAAGCCTCTGTGCAATTTTTAAATTCTGGATAATTTTGGAGAGGCTATCTTTGGAAGTTCAATCGCTTAACCGTGTTCTTTAAACACGTTTTAAACACATCTTTCTTGCATTTTATTTTCTGTCATGATGTTCACTATAGAACATTGCGTTTGTGTGATTTTACATACCAAAATATTCATAATTCATTTTTACATGACCATTTCACTCTTTAACCCTCACAGTTATGCAAGATGTTTCTGTGACTGTGCGTTTAAGATTGTGATATGCAAATGAGCTCTGTTCTGATTAGCTGCTCTGTATTATGGCTTATAACACTCCTCATAATTTCAGTGTGAATGGGATGAGCTAAACTGCTGTAGTCAGAATAGGCAGATAAATATAAATGTTTTTTTATGACATTACAAAAATATGGACTGTATGCACTGGGGAGTGAATAGTATATTTTGACTTTAACAATGTTTACATATTAACCAAAAAACCTTTTTTTAAAAAGAGAGAAATTCAGTTTTCCATGACATGAACACTGCGTTTGCCTGTGCAGACAATTCTCGTGACTATACTGCCCTCTAGTGGTAAAGCATTGGCAATGTCAGCATATTTTTTGAAGTTCTCTGAGCCACACAATACATGCTTTTTAATTAGCTTTAAAAGACTTACCCTACCAGCATCTCCTAGATTTTTGAAGTAAGATTTCAACTTATTTGATTTCAAAATATTCAGAGTTAAAGTGGAAGGGCACAGCACAGCACTGGCCTTTTCATTTCAAATCTGGTCAACTAGTCAGCAATCCCTACATGAGTCACATCAGCCTTGCCAACTAAACTGTGTACTGTGACCCTCCTAGAATTGTACATTTTGGCCTAGCTAGTCCACCAAGTATTATATGTAAAGTAGTATCCTTCAAAACATTTGACCAAATTATTCCAAAAGGTGGTTCAAAATGTGATTTTTGTACATAATTTGAGCATTTGAGATTCAACTGCAGCTCAACATGAAAAAAATGTTTAAAACATTTTTACAAAGAAATAATTTATTGTGAAAGAAACACAGAAATATATACATGAAATGTACAGTTCTTCTCTTTGTACATAAAGTTTAATATTCATCCACCAATTAAATAATGTTACCCTAAATGACTCGAGTCTCCTGTGTCTCAAGTTTTCTGTTTAGTTTATGAAGGTTGGAGCATTTTAATGCTAGACTAGCATTCCAAGATACTGTGTACAATAAGTACAAGTAAGGTGGATTTAATCATAAAGCTTATTTATAAATATACAAAGTTACAAATTCAACAACCATTTAACTTGAAGGTTGAAGGTTGGATTTGTTACACAAGACATGTTTCAGAAAGAAAAGCTGCTGGAATCAAACTGATCCAATTCAGGGAGAAGAAAATGGACTTGAGCTCAGCTGAAAACGTACAAAGACACCTCAACAAAAACTTGACATAAATAATTACACTAATCCCAAACCAAAAGCAACATAATACAAAAACTGCTGTCATAAAGCACCACGCACGCAATATATTTGACCATTATAGAAACTGACCTACGCAAAGGCACTGCAATTCATCGCCACTGTTAAATACACAGCATAAAGAATAATTAGTCGAGTTTCACAAAAAATATCAATTGCTTCTTTGCCTACAATTTGTCCCTCTTTGTTTCCCCCTCACTGCTGCTTTCATAATGCTTTTCAGATATGCCCAGTGTACTGCAAGATCCCACTGAGGGGCCATAGAAAATCTTGGTTATTATTATTATTACTATTAAACATTATTAAAATGAAATACATGTGAACTAATTACATTTCACAGCCATACTTTGCCCATGAGTTACCCGTACTGTCAGAGAACAGGACCACTGTATGTGCAGGTCAGCAGTAGCTGTGGAAAAAGCCAGCAAAATGGACAAAGTTCTGCTACCACCAGGTCCCTGAGGGGGCGAGGGGAGGGCAAGGGGGAGCGAGAGGGAGCACGCAGGGGCACTTACCACCCACAAAGGGGGCCTTAGACTGAAAAGGTTTAAGAACTGCTAATTCAGTCACTGGATTTCACAGACAGTAATAAATATACCACACAAAACCTTTGTTCTTCTGCAGTTCTGGACAGTTTAGCTGCATCTAGAAGAATGCAAGCTCACACTTTACAACAGAACTCATCTGACAGAAAAATTCAGGATGGATGGCATGCGAACAGGTGGAGTGAAGTGTAGTTATCAGAGAGACATTTGCATGTGAAGATGTGCAAAGTTGTTCTTAATGCTAAAGGAAAACCATTGAAAGCAAAAACTGCCGTCATCATCAGAGAGTGCAAGCATTCCCATATATACAAACACACACACACACACACACACACACACACACACTCGTAACACCTATGTACACAATTCCTGTAAACTCCTACAAAATCCAAATATACATAAATATCCGTCTTGCGCACCTTACAGCTCAAATGACATACTTTGGCAATATATTTAAAAACAACAATCGTTTGGCTGACTGCTACAGAGCACACAGTACATCTGCATGTAAGAGCACTGCAAAAAGAAACATGGCACGTATTTTGCAGCACTGAACAGTAAACAAATCCATAAAACAACATTAAATCAGCTTTAAAGCTGGTAATGCTGTAAACCTGGCACAGCAACATGCCTTTAAATCATGGTGCTTTGATAGCAAGTGGCTACAATAAGCTTAAGCTTTCCCTGTTGATTACTCAAGTCGAGCCACTGCAATTGGGCGAAACGAATGGTTCAAGGCACGGGTGCATTTTTAGGGGTCGCTGTCTTCCACTGTAGGATCAACACAATCGGTGTAAAAGGCCCCTTTCTGAGACCCTTCATTTGTCTTAGAGTCTGGTTTAAAGGAGTTGACTTCTTCATCTGTATTATTCCCGGCCAAGGCAGCCTCTGCACTGTTCCAGATCCCATAAGCAAAATAGATGACAAAGCCTGGGAGGGAAAAAGAGAGGGCACACTTACATATTCAGTCTGAAATGTTTCTATAAAACACGTGAGGATATACAAGAGCCTCTTAAAACTGTTAAACTGATCAAAGTTGAAAGTTCTAACGGAGTGGTAATGCACATTCATTAATGGTTTCTTCAGTATTTTGACTGGACTGGTCTCAGACACCAAAACATTTTGGCTGAAAAGTGATCAATAGTGGCATTTGTGGTTTTTGGCTGAAAGAGAAAATAGGTGAAATATTTTGTCCAAATAAAAAACCCAAAAGATTAAACTGGGCTACGACAAAGTATCAAAATCTCATAAAGAGAACTTCTCCACTGCAGAGGAATTTATTACCTTGAACAACTGTTTTCATAAGCACATTCTGTAATAATTCCAGTAAGTCTGTTTTATGTAAACTTTTTGTCGGCACAATTTTGTTCTATTGAAAGCCTGTTTTAGCAATAATAATAGTTTATTTTCTTCATTACCTTGTAGTTTTATATTTAGTAGGGGTGGGAATCTTTAGGCACCTCACGATTCAATTCGATTACGATTCAGAGGGCTGTGATGCGATTATAAAACGATTATCGATGCATCTCGATGCATCTTTTTTCTCTATGCATGATTTCTATCTTCCTACTGTCTGAGGACTTGGTAGTTTTAAAGCAAAGTATTTGTAATGATCCATAATGTAAATGCATTATGGATCATTACAAATACTTTGCTTTAAATATCTGAAGTATCTTTTATTAATAAATCAAATGGAGGTGATGTGGCAAGTGAACTAGAAGGCTCTCATTCAGAGATGCTGCTGCCACTCATCTGCGATAAAATGCGCTGTTGCCCTGAAATAAGATCCAGTGGCAATGGGTGTCCACGCAGCACGTTACAGCCACCCTTTTGATCTCGTTGTAGAGAGTGTATTTTTGAGAATGGACACTGAATCTCAGCTCCACAGTGTGCAGCATAACACGAAATCCCTGGTTCTCAACGACTGAGAACAGATAGCAGACAGCAGGTTACATAGCCCAAGGTCTGGCCTCGCCAGTAGCGAACGAAAAAACAGATTAAGACGGACATTTGGAGGACTTATTCGCATTTATAAGCAGCGCGGTTGGTTAAATCTGCTGAGAGACTGTCTTTCTCTAAAAAGTTGCGAAAATGAACTCGCTTCTCTTTCGTATTTTCCTGTTCCACCTTAAATGGTGCAGCAGTTACATTGGGCGCCTAAGGCAGAATTTAAGGTGGAACGGGAAAATTAGAACGAGAAACTGGTGAATGAGAAGCGACTTCAGCCTCGTAAAACAGCCGGACGCTGAGACATTTTACAAGAAACTCTTCTAGTTTTGAAGAAAAGTTTTCTGGTGGAGATGGAAGGAAAGCGACTAAAGCTAAAGCTTAAAGCAGAGCGAAGTAAATCTGCGCTCTCGTTTATATGTTTAGCCCATACTAGGACATTATCACATACTGAGACATACTGGGCATTAAATGTTGTGGCTCCCAAGGTGGTCTGACTTCGTTGAAAGGCAAAATGGCTCTTCTTATCATTTGTGCTGTGACTCCTGACCTGACCTGGCTTTTAATGCAGAGGGAGCCGGTCGGATTTCTCACTCATACAGTAGTGTTTTTGTTATGTGCCGCCACAGACTGTCCGGGCGCTGCACTTCCGCACTTCCAGTTCAGCCTTTTGCGTTCCGTCAACATTACATTATAAATTAAATATTTAGAAAATCGATTTTTGACGTTGAATGAATCGATTCAGAATCGTTCACGTCCGCATCGCGATGCATCTAAGAATCGAGTTTTTCCCGCACCCCTAATATTTAGTATGTTGATTAGAAAGCTTTAAAAAAAAAAAAGGCAAAACAAACAAAAAACAATAAATACATAAAAGCACTTTTGGCCAGGCATGTCTTGAATTTCGGTGCACAAGTAGCAGTTAGCATAAGGAAAATGAGGGAAATCAAGAGTCAATGTCTATAGTCGGAGAAGACATCCTGAACTCTATCAACCTGGCTACCATGGTAGCATTACCGCCCAAGAGGGATGCTGCAGAGTAGCCACAATACACAGTAGTGTAAATCTACAGTCTTGGGGGAACACAGTACCTCAGTGTATTACTCTACCTCATTTAACCCATCTGATTCAACTCATCAGATAATACGCAAGGCCTTGAGTTGAACTTGCTACACTCAGGCCCAGTCACACTCGATTTTGGTCAGCAAAAATTTTAATGGAATTCACAGTTCTACTAGAAGAGTTCTACTGTGGTGAACAACCAAATTTGCACCCTTAACCAATAGAGTTACTGCTTTGGCTGTGTTGACATCCAAAATGATACTAACTTTAACAGTGTCTAAGCCCAAGCCTTTAAACATTTCTTACCAGCTATAAATAGAGAGAGGCAGCATGATATCTAGTCAGGAGACTGTATGAGGTGGTATAACTATCTTTACTTTTGTGCCTTTACTGTGTTTGGTAGATAAGGTCGCCAGCCCGCTAACTGCTTAGTTAACTACTGGGCTACGAACTGCTGCAACTCCAGTTTACACTTTTTTGCTACAACTCTGTGTGCAGCACTACGCTCTTGCAAGTATTTAATTTTAACTACAGGAAACAAGCTTAAAAATTTAATTTTCTACAAATTTTAGTGCACAATTTCTACTTTAAAAAAATAAAACATAAAAGGAAATGTATGAGCATCTGTAGAAAATATATAAGCATCTGTAGAGAACACGTTGACTTATTTTCATTTAGAAAATCAACAAAACATGTCATTTGTCCAGGGTTGTCCCCCTTTAGAGGACACTAAATTGTGCTGGTCTATGTTCCTCCAGGTCTTGAGTTTAACTGCTGTAGCATGTGCATATAAATCATCTGATACATCTGAAGAGATACACAAGGGTGAAGCTTACCAATGACCATCCAGATCAAGAAACGCCACCAAGTGCCTCTGTCCAGCTGCATCATCAGGTAGACATTAATGAACATGCTAAGCACAGGCAAAAAGGGGAGGAGAGGTACCTGAAACAAAAACACACATACATATAACAATCGCTCAGTGCTTAGCTTATCAGACATCTGGCACCAGCTTATTAAAATCAACCAGAGATGACTTTAATTAAAGTTTATGATCTTTTTATCCTGTTCCTTTTATCAGTACAGTCATCAAAGCTTGCTTTTGTTCATCCCATCATTTTAGCCAGTGCATTTCTACTTTATTCTTAGGGATTGTGTCTTATATCTTACGTTTATATTGCTCATTTCTTACTTTGAAGGAAAGCTTGGTTTTGCTCTCAGGCTGCCGCCAGATTAACACAGTGATGAGGAAGCACACTCCCATGAGAACACCCAGCACACTGAGAGACCACACCTCCAAACCGCCCTGCATGGCTACAATACAGAAAACACACACCAGCAGACCTGCAGAGAGAGCGTGAGGAGGAGTTATTAAAAAGTGCTTTAAAAATTAATCACATGATAAACATAAGAACCCTTCCCTAATTTCAGGGATCTAATAACAATAACATGAAAACAGCTCTACTCTGGGAGAGCAGGCACAACATAGGATAAACTGTTACAGCTTTTTTTATGTAGATGGGAGTAGAATGTGCTTTTGGTCATCATCTCATATTCCTGAAGCAACATCATATGCAATTTTTCACAACATTTGGAGGAATATTTTCTGTTTTTGTACCATGAAACTAACCTAACCTAAAATAATACAGGTGTGAATTGTTATTTACCCTCTTTATTAGTTGAATATAGCTGTAATATGAAAATCTCTTATAGTGAGAGGTACCAGCCTGAGGTACAGCCTCTACACTGTGGAGTTAGTTGTAACCAGGGTTATTAGTTTTTAAACTTTCATTAGTTTTCATGTTTGTTTAGTTTTTCATGTTGGTTTTTGATTTCAGTTTAGTTTCAGTTAGTTCTGAGGGTGCATTAATATTTTTTGCTTTGTTTTTTTATTTTCGTAAAAGTAGCTTTAGTTTATTTAGTTTCAGTTTTAATATTTAGTATTTTGAGTAATGCTGTGATATCAGGTATTTGATAAAAGACAGAAAAAAAAATACAATAGAATGAGATCTGAACTCCAGCTTTCCTTAAAAACAGACAAACACAGAAGGTATCACCTTCTAAGCTCTCAACACACTAAAAAAACAAAACCTGGAGTTTTCTTCTCAGAAATTCTATTTTGTATTTGTTAGTTTTGTAGTGGACATTAAAAGTTTTGATTTAGTTTTTGAAAACGGTTGTTTTTATCATCAGTTAACAAGCACTTTTTTCACTACTCCTTTTCATTCTAATAATAGTTTTAGTTAACTATAATAACCCTCGTTGTAACATAGTATTACAACTTATCTTAGTAAAAAAAAAAACAAACAAAAAAACCCCCAAGAGAAAAATCCACATTTCCCCTCACGTAAATACAGTTTTTCATTCAAAAATTCATCAAAAATCTGCTTAACTAAATTAACTAAATATTATTCAATGTGATATTTGCCATTCTACTTTGTGGTCAAAAACAAATTTGCCAGTGTTTGACTCAGCTTTGTTTGACTATTCATATTCATTTTAATGCATGTATTTAAAAGCTGGAAACAGATTCAAACACAGAAAATGTACTGAATTAATTATGTTTCCATTGTTTTTTCAAACTTTTTTTTAGCCACCAGCCCTTCAATTTGTCAGATTTAACCACAGAGATGAGGTAAGTTCTAACACTTTCACCCAACACTTTCAGTTTGACTATTCACAAATGGTAGGTGTTCTAAAAGCTTATGTATTTTCTTTGCTATAGAGATGTGTAGGTTGTGTGCTCTGGTCTTCCCTTCATCTAATAAAGTTCAAATCTCACATGGTAGAGCAGAGTCAATGAAAAACACATTTGCCATCAGCTGGTACTCTTCAAACCAATCCTTATACTGTACCAAATATCACAACAATGCCATTGGGGTCTGAAATACTTGCAACAGAACCCTCTAAAATGGTATGTTAGTGCTTTGTGAGTGTTTGTCTTACCTATTAGACTGGTGCAGACATTGACTGTAAAGCCAGAGAGGCAGGACGGTTCAGTATTTTTGGGGAAGAGCAGATTGTTGAGAGTGCAGCTGTCCTGAGCTCCAGCCAGACAGCGTGAGCTGCTCTCACTGACGGAGTCTGGCTCGGCTTCCTCCTGAGAGTTTGCAATCTGATACTGTACATTCACACTGGGCTGCTCTGGCTGATACCTAATCATCAGAAAAGGAGTGAGTTTTGTAGTTTCAAAGAATTTAAAAAACATTTGAAAATGAAGACATGCTATATGAGGTTTTACATGCAGCAGTTTGGTTTTTTGTATAGTTTATAGTTCAATCACACTGTTGTACACACTGCATATATTTTGCTAGTGGGGCCAGACTGTTTAGCATTTAATTGGATCTTTGCAGAACCTGAAACTGTGTACCACTACTTTTAGAGATCGTTAACTAATATATTACAGAACATTTTATACTCATATTTGAGGTCCTTAACATTTAAATTTCCAGAAACATTAGCCAGGAAAATCTAAAGGCATACCTTAAAACCAAGACACACGCAGCCACTAGAGTGTATGCCAGCAGTGTCCCGATGGACATGAGATCTACCAAATCCTTCAGGTCAAACAGGAAGGCCATCACAGCTGTGCAAAAAAAAAAAGCTTAACATGAGATCAATTTTATCAAAAGGTCAGAGACGGGCATACAGCATTAGTGATTTTTAATAAATTGTTCAAAACTAAAACAAGAATCACTATTGTTCTGAAACAGAGCACATGCACTGTTGATCAGTTGTACTACTTAATTCTGAAAGCAATCAATTTAAAGAAATAAATTAAAGAATATGTACATTAAGATTTTACAAACTCAGTGTAAAAACACCCCAATTCTGTGTGACTGTCACAGCAGTGTTACTATGGTAGTGTTAATTGTTATTTCAAATAAAAATCAGTGAAATTTATCAGGAACATGTGATGGTTAACACTTAGTCAGGCGCAAATGATTTGCAATTTATTTGATTTTCTCCTGATTAATATGAGCAGAACAATCAGGAACCCATACATTTTGAGCCACATTAGTGTTGCTCCAGTGAATATTTAAATTTACTGTACTGTAGTGAAACGTCAGTGTCATTTAGTGCAGTAATTTCATTGCTGCCTGTTCCTCAACAGTCTGACTTGACATTTACAGCCACTGTGATTCACTGACCACTGTGAACCACACGCTACCCTTCGCTGGCCACTTGACACCAAACAGCAAACACTAACTCTCTACTAGGAGACAAAAAAGCGAAGCCCACGACTACATGTAACACTCAAACTACTCCTCCGCTCCTCCTCTGAGCTTACCGGACAACAGCCCAGCCACCACGGTGGAGAAAACAGGTATCTTTCACTCACTGAGGCAGGACAGGAAGGATAAGAGCAGACGGTCATGTGCCACGGCAACGATAATGCGTGGCACTGGAAACACGGAGCCCAGCAGGCTGAGGCGCACCAAGGAGGGAATGAATGAGTGGAGGAGAGAGAAAATGGAGGGGAAGGATGAATGATGTTAATACATCATCCAACGTCATGTAACACCCAACTAACCGGAAGAGTTAGCCAGGTTCAGAGAACTGTAGAAAACCCAAAACCCTTTAAAACTCGTGTGAGAAACGATGGTCTCTTGTCACTGCTTATGCATTTGGTCACTATGCTTGTTTGACCTTCCAATGGTGATTTTTGTTTATTTGGCCCAGAAAAAAATCTCTAAAATCACTGTGCCAATGTCTCATCTCCCCTGTGAGAAGGTTTAGTGAAAAAGTATAGGTTTAGTGGGTGAAAGTGCACACACACTGCAGGACATCATTTCACTGAGACCTGTGAAGGAAACCAGTTTGTTAGTGGTTTTAATTCATTATTCTCACCTGCTACAATGCCTGACGTTACAGTGGCGATTACAGGAGTTTTGGACCTATCGCTGATTTTGGCCAAGAACTTGAAGAGTAGCCCATCCTCAGCCATGGCCCATATAATTCTGGGCATTGGAAACATGGAGCCTAGTAGACTAGTATAGGGAGTTGAGAAAGAGAGAGCCATGCAGTGCAGCAAGGCACAGTTACAACACATGAGTGAGTAATTCTTCAAACACAGTTGAATTTTGTCTATGAGAATAATGAGTGGCATTTAGAAAGACAAAAAAATACAATAATAAATAATAAATAAATTGCTCTATTACACCCAGTGGTAAACAAATATTTTGTCTGCACGTATTTAAATCTCCTCTGTGGTGAAAAACAGAGACTTTGTTTGATTGATTTGGTCCTAGGTACCAGCTTTGGAACATTTTTGCTTACCACAGGTGTGACGCAGCTAAATGCCAAAAAATGGTCAAACATGGATTCCATTTTTGGGCATGTTACTACAAAATGACGACATGCCCTCAAAGGTCTATTGCTTGCCTTAAGCTAGTCATGTGACGTAAACCAGTTTTACTTCTTTTACAGAAGCATGAAAGAGCCCAACCACTAATATAAAAACTACCAGATGTAAAAGGTGAATTCAGTGTCGCTCACTGATTAAATTTTAGCATAGCAGTGCTAAATACATTACAGTTTTAAACACATTTTATCATATAAGTTAGACACTTCCCACAGAGGTTTCATGGGCCTTATATCATCCGTTTCATTAAAGATCAGCTTCTCTTTGCACATCCAGCCACATTTATTAAAACATTTATTAAAACATTTATTAGGAACTGAGTCTATATCAATAGTTCATGTCACACTAGAGTAGGGTGGCCTACCTGGTGGAGAGGGCACACAGTGACCCAACGGCCACAGCATATGTAGCCCCATCCCAGCCCACGTACTTAAAGGCCACGGGCAGCGGGCTGTTCTTATCCAGCATATAGTACGGCATCATCATGGTGAGGGCTGCTGATACGCCAAAGTAGGCCACGAAGCAGATGAGGAGCGAGGATACTATGCCAATGGGAATGGCCCTCTGTGGGTTCTTCACTTCTTCTCCTACAGTAAAGACAGGAGGAATGTCCAATGTCTGAAGCAGCCACTTGAACAACTCTAAAAACGGCATGCTCCTGTCTACAGAGCTTTACTAAAGGATATTTAGAATAAGATGATCAGAAGAGTACAGCTAGTAGAACATTTCTATAACTTGGGTATAGTCCTGGTAACAAAACAGGTCAGAACAAAAAAGCCAGGTTGACAATGTTTAGGTGTGTACATGTGCATGTCTGTGCAAGACTCTCTTACTCACCTGTAGTAGCAATACAGTCAAACCCAACAAAAGCATAAAAGCAGGTAGCAGCGCCTGACAGTACTCCAGTGAAGCCAAAGGGCATAAACCCTCCCTCACCCAGACTCTCTACTGTTACCAGTGGTTGCGTTTCACTGCAAAAACACCACAATTAAGAGTTAAACTGAAAGCTGACATCAGAGTAATGACTAGAATTTCTTACTGAAACACATACATGTTTATTGAACTGTGGTGAACAAAGTAAAGTACTTAAGTCTAGACTCCAAACTCACTTCGCATGAGAGCTGCTGTTAAGGATCTCATCTGGATTCAGGTCCCAATTTTTGAGGCTTCCTTTGATTAAGCCAGAGACCACCACGAACATCAACACCAGCACATTAACACAAGTGAAGACCTTATTCACCATGGCTGACTCCTTCACACCAAATGCCAGCAACCCTAAAGAGAGTACAATACTTAATGAAGGTACTCAGCATTGATTCTTGTGATTATTAGATTGAAGGACACTCTGGTCATTGGCATGTACTGTGCATGAATCTTACCAGTTAGAATAAGAATGATGAGAACAGCAAACATGTCAGGGTACTCGGCTAAAACTCCGGGAGCATTCATGCTCATATGCGTCCGACAGAACAACTCTATTTGTTTACCTATGAGCTCATCAAACGTGGCGCTCCATGCTCGAGCTACACTGGAAGTACCTAAGAGGAGAATGGACACAAATACATTTTAGTTTTGAAGGATCTCGGTTTACTTTTAGGCCAGAAACATACTTCAAACAAGTATGTGAATGCAAACAAGGTTTTGTGCATTTTTAAAATGTCTCATGATATTCGCAAAACTGCATTCTCAGCGTTACATCAAGGGGCACTAAAGCGAAACCCAAGCCTGGCCAAGCTGTTTTGTACTGCCAATGTGCTTCTGTAGAGATCTTGAATAAGATCTAACACTAAAAGTTAAGAATGTTGAATGTTTTGTCCTTCTCCTGTAAACTGTATTTGCAAATACGAGGTTTTGCTCTGAAAACGATGATTATATAATCTTACATCACCTCTTAATTTCAAAAAAGAAAGTAAATCAATTCAGCAATAGACAGTCGTCGTCTGTCCAGGTGTTAAGCTGTTGCAGCTGTTGGAATACCCATTTTCAGTTCTGACTTTTCTCCCCCCCGATTACTGAGTGTTTTAACCACCACAGTAACGTAAGAAGGTATGATGAGTTTGTACAGAAGAATTGTATGTCGTTATTTGCATACACGTACTGGCATAGGGCCTTAATCATAAGATACAACAAAGAAAAGCAGACTATGAGGTGGACTATCAATGCAGCTATTAATAGTGTATGTTAATAACAATGAAAGGACTGAAGAAATTGTGTTATTTAACATAAACTGCTTTATCAACTATGCGGCACAACAGAACCTAGCTGGGGTACTGTACATACAGTGAAAGACACTGCCCAATTAGGATCAGAAAAAATGAACTGCATGCAATAGAATGTAATAGAAAACCATATCCTTTCTATTTTCTCATTAAACTGCAACATCCATGAAATTTGGTAATAACAAAATCTTGATTAATTATGCCTGTATTCTTTATTCTATAAACTCAAAAGTTTCAACGTTTAGAACACAAAACAGGTCACTGACCCGTGACGGAACTTTCTAAAGTGTTTGCTTACCTATGATGTAGGAGAGGATGAGGTTCCAGCCTGTGATGAAGGCCCATAGCTCTCCCACAGTAACGTAGCTGTACAAGTATGCTGAGCCTGTCTTGGGGACACGTGCTCCGAACTCTGCGTAACACAGCCCAGCCATGACTGAGGCCAGCGCGGCGATGAGGAAAGAAAGGACGATGGCTGGGCCAGCATTTTCCCGCGCCACGGCCCCAGCTAACACGTACACACCCGCTCCAAGTGTGCTGCCCACACCCAGAGCCACCAGGTCAAATGTGTTTAAACAGCGGGAGAGCCGTGATTCCTCCGTACTGCAGTCCACTGCCTTCACTCTCAGCAGCTGCTTCCCAAGGCCTTTCAATGTGGCTAGCACCATGACGATGATGACGATGACGTCTCACACAGCTCACAGACACACACACACACACACACGCACACACACACGCACACAGAGGTCTGTGCAGCAGGGCCAATGACCTGATAAAAAGAAAAAACAACAGACAAAGACTTATTACAATCAGTGTATGAGACAAAAGACTTAAAGAGGTGAGATAAACAACATTTTTAAGCATATTATTTTGCACATAATGTTAGCTAACATTATGATCAGCTGATTATGCTAGTCTGTGACCCAAGGAGTTCTTTGAAGTCAGTTCAAAACCATTTCTGTACATTGCAGTAAATCCATTTTTCTTTACAATAAATTTATAGTACGCCCACTTATTCTTGAGAATGACTAGGCCAGTCATGATCATGAAATTTAAGCTGGCAATTTATTGCCATATTAATAATTGCAATTAATAATGTCTTCAAAATACAATTATATTGCATTAATGTATAAGCCTAAAGTAGCCAAACTAGTTGATTAGTCATCTTGCTTCCTAACTGTCAATTGTTAGTAGCACCAAACACAGCTCGAACTCAAATAAACAAACATTACTCACGGCTGCCCTCTAAAGGTGTTACAGCACAGAAGATTAGAGACATTACAGTACAACATATCGTATTGTGTCATACTGTACTGTATTGTATTGTGACATCCTATCTTGTGGTTAGTGTGTTAACTTGGGGCTAACATTAACTTTTGTTTCATATGATACATTTATTATGTTGAATGCTCTCAAAAACTGAAAATGAAAGCTTCAACCTTTTAATGCAAATTTTCAGTCACTCCTCATTTTTGCTGTACCAGGGGAAATAAACTTAAATCAAGATATCATTGAATCATGTTGAATTACAAACTGTTACCATGCAAATACATATTTGCGAAGGCAAACATACTTAGCCAAGCTCAGCTGCCATTTCTATCATAAGCCTAAATATGAAGGTTTCCAACTTCCAACAAGAGACAAATTATGTAAAATTTAGATTTATATGAATTGTATACTGTTTGTTTAAAGGTTTTAGGTGAGCTCGGCCTTTGAATTTACAAATGCTAATGCCCTCCAACTCATTTCTTTCATTATATAGAAACTTCAGTGCTGGGCCACTGCTTTATTTTTCTGAAACCACTGACTGTGTCTTTAAAGTGAACGATATTCTTACATCAGAGCCCCTTCCAGACAAATTTCACATGTAGCTCAGTTCAGAACCCGGCCCTAAAGCCAAAAGTAGTCTGATTTATGACTAGCTCAGTGTTGCAGTAGAAACCATGCCAGGGGGAAGTTAAAGAGGTATCAACTTGACTTTACAGTAAGATCTTTTTATAGTAAACCTCCTCACTCATTGAAACACATGGACACAGTGCCGGCGTCATCGAGCTAACGTACCATGGTGAAACAGGATCATGTTCGGAATGATGCCACACTACAGTCCCATTGCATATTTTAACAAAGTCACAGTTTTAATGGAAATAAGCACCTTTTGCATTGCGCTATTCTAAAAATGAAATTACAGAATATTTTATAAATGTAATGCATTTAAGAGATTAAACCTTCTTGAACAAACCTCTTAACCTGGAGTCATCAAAGCAATGTAGAACGAGAACATTCCCAGAGCTAAGATTGGAGCCCTGATAATCTAAGATCAAACCAAGATAAAGCCCTTTTCTACACCAAAAGAGCACTTCAAAATTGAACCAAAACTTTCACTTACCAAACTGCAACACCCAAACCACAGGGCAACCCTCACAATGTTAAAGTGATCCTCCAGTCTGAACCACAACTGCTCTACCACCCATGTAGAGTAACAATCCAAAAATGACTAATCGCTAACCAAACCTTTGAAGAACTGTGTTTTGCTCTTAGTTACAAATAAATACATGCGTGGGGATGGGTTTATAATGAGTGCTAGTCAGTGATCCAGGCACACGTCAGATGTCTTTGTGGCTATTAACCCTTACAAGCCTTGGGCCCACAAATAGAACACTGTTGGCTCACATGACAGGGTGGACTTCAGCAGCTGTGGGGACCATTGCCACCACGCACTTGTCTGTCCGTCACCCCAGAACGCTCTCTTGGCTGTGGCCTCCCCTCACATGCAACACACACTTCATAAGACACTAAAGCAAGAGTTCAAATGCGTAGTTCATCCAAGAATGCTAACATTGCTAAAGACGAATAAAAGCCAACAAGGAGCAGTTAGCATTTCACAAAAGAGGTGATGACTGTTGGTCCCTTCTAAAATTCTTTCAGTGTCAGCTTGTAAACATTTCTGGACAAATTTAGAAAAGCATACATTTCTAGTAGGGACTTAATGGTCAATTGACTAACTGTTAACCGATAAACAACTGTTGATCAATGCTAAAAATGTTAATTTAACTTAATTTCCAAAGAAAAACAATTCCGATTTCAGTAAGCAGGTTTATCACTCAAGTCAAGGACCATTTATGAATTGTACACATCAAACATAGCCAAATTGAACATTTTATTATTGTCAGGCCCTCAGTAAACAAAACTGGGTTTCTATGTAGGGTATGTTGAATACAGGCCTTTCACTTCAAGCACATGTTTATGCCTCACACTATACACACTCACAAAATATGCAGTACTATGGTCTATGATCAATAAAAGGGACCCTTTTAAAGACCTTTGCGCATTAATAAAGAGTTCAGTTGGTGTGCAAGCATATATTAGCTCAGCCAGTCAGTTCTGGAATTTTCTATTTCCTAATTAATATTTTAATTAGTCACATCTTTATTTTAGTCCTTGTTATTTGCCTCTCTAAATTTTAGTGTCATGACAGAGTAGGGAAATTAATATACTACCCACAAATCCTTCCATAGGGCAGTATACACCCATAACTGAAGGGGCGGAAAAGATCAACAGCAGAAGAAACAAAAGTCTGTCTAGTTTGCACAACACTAGGCTTTACAAATTCACTAACCACGTTATGGACCTTTATTCAAGTTCAAGAACATTTCTGTACACTCCAAAAAACAAACACTGTTCTCCTCAAATACCATCAATCTGCTCTTATGGCAAGTTAACCTATCCATGTTTCACTGATAAAGGTGTTCTTTTGTAGCATCTGTTGCTCATTAGGTCAACCTAATGAGAAACTGTAGAAGACTATTCAGTTTTGGTCAAAATATCTACATTTAGAGTGTATCATAAATTTCAAATAATTCTTTGCTGTCCAGTAAGTCTAGCTTCGATTAGCTCAACACCTTCTTACAGCTCAGAAGTGTGCAAGTTTAAAACAGAAATTCAAAATGTTATGCAATGACTCTAAACAAACTTGTTTTGATGCTATATGCCAAAACGTCTCGTTAGGATCAATGGGATTTCCCTGCAACAACAGCTGCTAAAAATGAAGACGTATGTGGGCAGAGCTCACAGAGGTCGGTTGACCAAAAACTGCAAATTGACAGCATTTGAGAAAATGCTTGATTGTTTCTCTGTGACATTCACAAAAATGTCTAAGTTATAAAGCTTGTATGAAATGATTAAAATGTGGTGAACAGCACTGCAAATAGGAAAAAACCTTTATCTGCTGTTGATCTTCTCTTGCCCCTTTCAACGTTAGGCACATAAAATCCTACTTCTTCCTAATTCAAGAGAAGAGACAAGATCTTTGTCTTTTATGAGCTGCTATGGGAATGTGCCTTCTGAGGAATTCACTCATAGCACTTTCAGCAAGCCCACTGAAGGCAGGATTTCTGTGTGTGTCTGCCAAGTATGATTGCAACAGACTCTCTGGCTGAGTCAGACCAGCAAGAGCGCTGCCATGAGAGGACACGTGTCCTTACTGAGTGCAGAGACTGGCCTGTGATAGCACAGCTCCCATCCGCTACGAGTGATATCTTCACAATAAATACTTCAACTAATCATTCTGGGCACCGACCTGATCAATTATCATCGCTGTTATATTTTTCAAACATATCATAAATAAAGTTCTAAGCTGGGCCAGCAAGTGTGTATGGTTACAGAACCATACCAATCATTCAGCAGGACAGATGAGGTTACCACAGCATCACATGGCTTTAACATACATCTATCAGGGCTTCACATAGACGTCAAACTAAGGAAAAACAGAATCTGCCGCGTGAACGATGTTGTGTAACGCACACTGGAACGCTCGGCATTGTCACGTCTGAAGGTGCAAGGACAAGAACAACTTGTTCATCCACACCTATAGCAATGGGGAGGAGTTATAAGGGGATAGTAACTCATGCCTCTTTCAGAAGACGCTAAATCAAAAGTGTGGGCAGGGACTGAACCCAGCCCCTTCCTCCACCAATCAAATCGTGGGGACACTACAGGAACCACAGATCATTTTGGAATGGCAGGCACTCTCATGGAGGGCACTCAAAGACTGTAAGGCTGTCAGATCAACCTGATTAAAAGACAAACAATTATCAGTGGGACTGGCTATCGGTCAAATTTTCCCATAGCGATGCTTTGACTTTGAAACCCCTTTTCTGAAAGAAACTTTTATCATATAAACATACTAAAGGAAAATTGATGACAGATGGACTTTTTAAAAGTGTTCCAGAAGTGCCACTACCCACCAGTCTCGTGTTTTGAAGGTGGGGGTGCTTAGAGATGCTATTTGTTTTTCATTACTCTGTGGCCCTGATTTAAGTCTGTCAGTACTATAAAAAGTCCTGAACTTCAATAACCAGCATGAGTTACTAGGGGGTTAGTAAAAAGTTACAACCTCCCATCTATAAGGTGTTTAACACTAGATTGATCTCATTACCATTTCGTATTAGACCAATATGTAGCATGACACAGGTACACCCACTGGTCTAACACATAATGGTAATGATGCAATCAAATGAGAATTAAGTGTTAGAGATATTTGCACTGCTCATTTCTGACTCACCCTGTGCAGAAAATAGCCATGAAAAACTGAAGCATTCATTATATCTAGATATAAATACATATCTAGATGAAAAGTAATGCTGACATTGACCGCATTTTATCATTACCAAGTTATCTGAATCTTTCAAATTCAAACAAAGGGGGGGTGAGCACAGTTAAGAATGGGGTAAGATGATTAGCTACCTCAACATTTAATTTTTCCACTGTTGTTTGCAATAATAGGAGGAGTAAAGACCAAGAGAGCCTGAAATTGCCCAGCCGCTCTGATTAAAAATGATCCCTGAGAGCACTCGCCCTGTCATGATGTTATTATTAAACACTAAGGGCTCTATTAATAACCTATCTGAAGAGCACATACCAGCAAAACTAACTGCCACATAACCAACATCATCAGAGGCGATTTATTTAAGGGTCCAAAAAAGGCACTACTAAGATGAGTGCTGTCAATCTCCACACTCTTGTTATTTACACATGATGACCAAGAGTTCACGTTTGAAGGTCAGAACATGGTCATGACCAAAAATGTCATGACACCCAAACAACACAACCCCTTGCCATGAAAAACAAACACCATGACCAAAACCAAAGAGTACATGAACATCACAGCTACCTCCCCTCTGGAAGAGTGGCATGCTCTAGTTGGCGAGAACTTCAAATGCCTTGGAAATCCCTGAAGAGTCTTGGAGATACCCTTTCTTTTAAAGAAGTAGATCAAAAGTCGTTTTGTGTCCAGTAGTCAGTTCATGATCATAGATTTTATGTTTCATTTCAAATGTGTTTCTAGCTATGTTGTGCACAGGCCTAGCAACCTAAGGTCAAGTCAGTCTGCAACTCTATTTCTGAAAACATAATATTGTTGACATATTAACAGGGACACACAATAATATCAGTGCTGTGACAATCAGAGCAAACAAACCTATCAGTACAAGGATTTATACTGTAGATTTAGTGGCAGTTTAAACATGCATCAGATGGCCAATTCCTTTTTTAAACCAGCAGCTAAACCTGGGGTGATTTGAACAGAGGGCATAACTATTTACAAACAAGTAAAGCAGTCAAATTGTAATAAATCTACAGTTTGCAAACACTGATACTAGATATAGACAACACAACATTTATTTAGTTTCCAAGACAGAATCTCTTTTTCAGCAACCTCTGCCACATGACTATACAGACTGGCTAGGCACCTAAAACAGCAACAGGTGGTGAAGCTCTCCTTTCCTTATGACAACACACCCAACTGGGTTTTCTGGGACCTCAAAAGACCACCAACGACACTCACTCAATTTAGATGAATATGCAAACAACTATACTGGTTCATATTTAGACAGGAAATCAAATTGACGAGCAGCCTTTCATCAGTTATTATATGTAGACGTGGTAAAGCCAGTGTCATAAATGTAATAAAAGACAGATGTCCTAACAAGCGATGACATGATGGGCATGACTGGGTTGTATATCATCAGTATTATTCTCTCTCATTACAGTTCTGCTCCTGCTTGGTTACACACACAAAACAGCAACATTGTATTTACATTTATAAAATTAAAAAATTGAGACATCCACCTTGATTTAAATTACAAAATAATATCAGTAAAATGATGAATAAAGTGCTGCTCTTCCCAAAAACAACTAAAAACACCTTTAAATATCAGCTGAATCTAATACATTTCAGTGTGCTAGTATGCTGGGATTAGCATTAGCCTTTTATCTAACACTGAACTGAATTGCATGGATTGATAAGAGCCGATCTTAGGTCAGCACTCTTGCTCTTGAGACTTGATATCCATAGTCTATTGACCATCGTTAATTACAAGAAAGAGTATAAACACCACACCTATGCTTCTCAACAGAAACAAATAAGGACCTAAATAAGATGTGAAGGGGCGGCTATCCTATTTTACTGTATTTGATTTTGTTCTCCCTGAAGTCCACTCATGTTTGTGTGGCTTTATGCGTAATTCAAATTTTACAGGACCACTTCCCAAACTCTATCATTTAGAATTAAAGAAGCTGTTTTTGTTACTGCGTCTTTAAGACTGATGCAAGTGATCTCTGCTCCGATTGGCTGCCCTGTTTTGTGCCTTAATCAAAAGGTAGTCTGGACTGAAGCACTCCTTATAACTTCAGTGTGAATGGGCGGAGCTAAACTGCTGTATGCTGAATATGTGCATATGTAAATATATTTTCTGACGTCACAAAAACAAGGAATTTAAGATGTGCTTTTTTGCAACACGTTTCCACACATTGACTGAGGAGTGAACTGTACGTTTTGGCATTTTGACACTGTTTACACAAACTACAATCACACGTTTATAATAAATGTGATGATTTTCCATGATCTGGGTCCTTTAAGATTTTTTCAAAGCCAATTTACAGTGGAAAACTGACACTATCCCGACTTCTCCTGCTAGGAGAGTGGTCATTTTCCAGTAGTCAGTCAGTCGGGTGCGGATCACCTTGCCAGCAAAGCCACATCGACTCCCTAAGGCACGAGGAGGAAGTGACGAGACATTCAGGCTTCACAAAGCGCGCGACCGGAGCTCTGGCCACGTGCGATTAAACGGTAGCGCAGCTAATAAAGGCTTATAAAACGAGTAAAAACACGTTTTAGCTATTTAACGGCCATAGTTTAAGCCGTTTGTCTACTTATTTCTTCTCTATGAGTGCACATGTGGACAGACCGCTGTACATGACGGACGGAATGACCTACACAAAGCGCAAAAAAACGGAAAAAAGCGGGAAAAGCATGAGCTTTAATGTGTTTATTAAGCCGTTGCTTAATGTGTGTTTAACTGATATGAAAGCTGCCCGGTCCAAGTTAAAGTAGACCGTGCAATCGCTAGCAGTGGGTTGCATCAGCTTTTAAGATGGACACTCCAGCCATGTGCATCTGTAGCTACAAAGATGAGCGCGGGACTGTATGCTAGCTAACAGATAAGACACATGCAAAGGAAGCTCATTTACAGCCAAGTTGTTGCTACATATATAACACAGTGAAACGGGACAGAAATCATTTAAACGAATTTACTACTTTCTTACCTCGTCAGAGCTTCAGATGATGGTTATTCAGGGCTCGAATTACGGGATACAGTCAAGCTTTAGTCGACCTCGAATGAGGAACTGCTTAAACATTTGCTACAAAACCGGCTACAATCAGAGGGTGGGGCAGATGTAGTAGTAGGTCTGGCTTATCGCCAAACCCTAGTCCCGCCCGCCGCGCCGTGATTGGCTGGGTGTCTTCGCTATTGCTAGGGCGTCCTGCATTATGATTGGATAATAGTAGGCGGCTGGGAGTTCACACCCACAAGCTCGTGTAACTTTTAACCCACAGATTGTCCAGCGCTCCGCACTGCACGGTTATGTTTTCCTGTTGCCACACATTCATTTCAGCGCAGAAAGGACTGATTAGCTGGATCAGGTGAACTCTAAAATGGGCCTGGAACTGCCGTTTCTGGTCCTAAGAGTCATCCCCTACTTGAGCCATCTGCATGCAAGAAGAAGAATAAATACTTAATAAATGTTGATGAGAGAACTCGGAAAATCTCTGTGCTCACTGCACTTTTTTCTTCAAAGAATACTGAATACATTTATAAAAGTACATACTCAGGCCCCCCCTGGTGGTCAGAGAACCCTAAGCAACTGCTTTTACCTTAAATCGTAGCACAGAAGGTGAGGTTTGTCAGTGGAGATAAAACAGTTGAGTGAAAGAGGAATCCAAAGCCTCTCTCTCTCAGCCACACCTGCACAGGCAACGCCCTCCACAGTGGAAGACTGAAACTGCACAGCCATAAACAATGTGGCTCCAGTTCCGTTTAGACAGTGAATACCCAGCCATGTCGAACTCCACTGATGCCAAGCTGAGGAATTATCATTCTTACAGCAGCCCAGTGACTGCTCCAGTGCAAGACCTGCCTCTAAACTGAATCTTGTTCATTATGTGGTCTACAGTTACATTATTTGTGCTTTACAGGGTAGAGTAATCATAAAGTCTGTCTATTACATATACAGAGAGAGAGGAAGGAGTGAGGAATACGAGCCTCATTCCCAATGAATGAATGTTGCTAAATTTAGGAGCAGAAGAAGGGTAAAAGGCAACAAAAGGAGCCAGGGAAATTCCTCCTAGGCCCTCCGGATCTCTCCAAGTGCCTGCTGCTCTACCTGATAGACCTGTACCAGTGTAACACACACTAACACATCAATACCATGTCAGTGTCACTTCCTGGCTGAGAATCGTCCCCCAGTCAAATAACAACTGGCCAGCGGTGGTGCCTGTCCATCAAAGGATGAGGTACAGAAATGAATTGTGCAACAACAGACAGATTACAGTCAGTAATCGTAACCTAAACGTGTGTAGTGTTTCAGTGTGTAGTGTGTATTTCAGGAGACTTGCTTCTAAAATGTTTCTCAAAGAAGTCTGCAGGGATGTTTTTCCACACCTCCAATATCTTTCCTATAGCTTTTAATAGTTTTTGAACTTTTGGAAGCATGGAAGCTGTTTTTTTCCACTGTTCCACCTTCCTTATGTAAGTGGATTATCTTATATCTAATCTCCTCAAAAATATCTCCTGAAGAATGAATAACTTACCATTTCTAATGGAACTTAACCAAATGAAGGGTGGTACATTACATAACCTGGGCTTTTTCCTTTTGTGCCTCCCAGTGAGTCTAAATGAGTAAAAGTACTTTTAGTCACATTGCGCACTACAATTGACCATGTGGCAAAAAAATGCACGATTTATTAAAAAATACTAATCCCACCTTCATTATAACTTCAAGGTTGGACTGCAGGCGCTCATATAATATACTTCATACATACCTTTTCCTCTATGTCTAAAAACATAATGTGTGATTGTGCTTTGTTTATGTCATAAACTTATCAACCTGTATTTTAATACATACGTTTTCACATCGTGTGTTTCTAAATACAAGATCCTGAGAGAATGTTCATCATTAACATTATAAACGTTTTGAGGTCAGGGGTTAATAACTGTGACCCCACACTGACTGAATGCTGTACTAAGTAAGCAGGAGAAGTGTACCGTCACTGCAAATAAATGTGCTGTATAGTAATTTAAGAAGCAATGCAGATTTAATGGCACATTAGGACACAGCTGAGCAGCAGGATAGAGTAGCCTAACTTCATACTCAAGCAAAGGTATTGTTGCTTTAGTGAACAAAATAATAAACAACTTTCTTTTGTCATTGTGTGTTATGGGTTTGTTATTATGAGTAACTTTATGTTTCAGTCTTATTTTTATTTTTAACTTTTACGTGTGTGAAATAATCAATAAAAAAAAATCCAAAAAACAAGCCTGAGTTGAAGCACTAAAGTACCAGGAAGAAAAAATAATGAAGTTTACTTTTTCACAGGCAGACGACTGACCACTAATTTATAGTTTTTTTTTTGCTAACGGTAGATAATACGTCACACAACAAGCACATTTTAAAGAAAGGATTTTTGCATGAAATGTCCCCATATGCAAAAGTTTGGGCACCACTAATAAAGTAGTGTGTTTATTTTCTAAGTGAAAATAAGTTACACATCCTCTACAGAGAACACACATTTTAATGCACCGTTTCTGTTTATTTGCTGAGTTTACCATATTACCATAAAGATTGCCAGAGAAATGCCATATTTAAGTATCTGTAGAGCAGGGGTGTCAAACTCATCCACTACATTAAAAATATTAAAAAATCTCAACAAATCCATGGCCCAGAGAACGCCAATGTTTTTATTTCATTTTTAATCAACATTTTGCTATAACCAGAACTGAATTCAAAATATACTAAAGTGTCAACAACAAACATAGGCACTTGTAGTAGACCTTGAAATATTACATGAATACTTGAAATATATTTTAAATTTTACATGTCCCCAGGAGCTCAGACTTTTAAACCTACCTATTTGATTGAACTAAATGCCTGACATCCTTTCTTTGCAGCAAGCTCATTAATTCTTGGACTCAATGTCTGAGCTGCTGATCTAACATTAAGTGCTTATGTTGGTTGAACCGCAGCTGAAACGCAGCAAGTTTGGTGATGTGATTGGTGTGGAATTGCACAGAATTGTGTAGAATAGAGGTGTAACCACTGTCTCATAGACTTTTGCAAAACATGCAGCATTAGAACTAATGACGTTCTAAGAAAGATGTTTGTAGCTATTATGCAAAAAGAAAGTTACCTGGCTAGGTGAATCCAGAATCTGACTGAACACACACACACACGTTTTCTAAGCCACTTCTCCTCCTGGGTCATGGGGGGTGCTGGAGCCTATCCCAGTGCTCATTGGGCGGAAGGCAGGAAACACCCTGGACAGGTCGCCAGTCCATCACAGATACACTCACACCTAGGGCCAATTTAGCCTGACTGCATGTCTTTGGACTGTGGGAGGAAACCTACACAGACACGGGGAGAACATGCAAACTCCACACAGAAAGAACCCTGGTCACCCGGCTGGAACACTTGCGCTACTTGCTGTGAGGCCACTGTGCCATCGTGCCGCCCTGATTGGGAACATTTATTGCAAAATCCCTTCTTTAAAATGTGCATATTTGTCATCTTTTCAAGGGCATTCAAAGTTTTGCGTATGTCTGTTACTAAATTCTTATCATGTTGTCTTTTTGCCATTCTGTGATACTGACTAACAATGTTTCAGTTTTATTTTCATCTTTTTGATGCATTAAATTTCATGTGTTTGTCAGTATGCTGTCTCATTTGCATTTGTGCTGAGAGTAGTCTGTGTCACATTGTTATGCATGAGCCTGCATACAGGATTAGTGTTCTAGCAGGACTCTTATTAGAGGGGCCACAAACAATCTAATGACAACTTTGAAGTAGCTGCAGGCCTTTACGTCAAAGAATTGCCAATTTGTGCACGGAACAAGAATATCGCTTGCTCTGTGCGAGTCTGGGCTGGGCAAGAAGAAAGCCACTATGAGAACAGGCTAAGCCCAGGCTAATTTACATTATGCAAAACACCATGAGCTAGAGAAAGATTCTGTCATCTAATGAAACTAAAATAGAGCATTCTGGCATCAATGCTAAGTGTATTGACAAACTGAAAGGCCCTCGGGTAAAGCATGCTGGAAACACATTTTATTGTTCATTTTGTGTTTTTAGAATAAAGTGAATATTCCAATGTGCTGTGTATGACTGCAGGAAAAATATTGCATAATTAAGTGTATGGAGTTTACAGATCAGCCAACAGAGGGCAGCATGACATCACAGACAGGGCCTGACTGCTTCATGCAGAGTGAACTTCACTGTATCCTTCATGAAAATGAGGACAAACTGCAGTCAGTTTGTGTCCTAGAAAGACCTCTGAGAGAGAGCTGGCTCAGACAGTGTAACACCTGGGTAACACTACAACACCTGGGGCACTGAATGTCCTCAGTTTATTTGCCTATTTTTATAGGAAACGCTGTGTTTGATAACACAATAATTGCAAAATAATGTTAATGTTCTGTAAAGCTTACAGCCTAATCTGCAGCAGCTTTTCCTCTTGTGTTGATGAAAGATGCTGCTCCAAAGTGAAAGACCTAAAATGACTTCAAAGCTGCTAATTTCAACAGTGGTGCCAGAAAAGTCATTTTATTTCCACATTTTTATCATTTTTCTCACACGTTAACAATCATAGACTTTATGGAGAGAAAAGCCTGGAAGATGTGTTTCTGAATGTACTGAAATCTATTTCAATAACTGGTCTTTTTATGTTTAATGCTGCCTAACAAGTTAACAAGCCTATACATTAAAAAGGAAAGAAAATCCTAAAAAATAATCAGTTCAGTGAGACTTGTTTCAGTAACAGTGCCTTCACATCAAGGAAAAGGCAGTCAGGTAGACTAATGGCTGACACTGCAGAAGAAACCTCAAAAGTTCTGCTGTTCTACAGGAGAGGTGTAAAAATGAATGCAGCTGGCTTGTTCTTTCATACAGACTTAACAAAAAGGGTCAAAAGGGGTTATTTTGAATGATGCCATAGAAGAACCACTTTTGGTTCTTATTAGTGGATGGTTCTTTAAAGAACCTTTTAAAATTGTTCTATATAGAACCAAAAAAGGTTCTTTGACTTGTTCTAGTGGAACCCTTTTTTAGTGCTATATAGAAACACATTTAAAGGGGTTCTTTAAAGCTAGAGAAAGATATTTCACAGCCCATAAGAGCACAATCGGTATCATGAATAAAACCAAGGAGCCTATAAAACTGGGCTTTTATCATTGACATGATCATTGAGAAGAACTATCTGACCAAGCAAGGAAGCATTTATGCATTCAAATGGTTCTTTGAGTGCTAATGGTTCTATATAGAACCATTGCCTTTACAAAAGAACCTTCAAAGAACAAATTTCCCTGAAAATTAAGAGGCCATAGACGAACCACTTTTGGCTCTCTAAAGAACCTCTCAGTGGATATTTCATAAGATAGGACATTTTCAGGGAACCAATGAGATGTGTGAAGAAGCTTTCTTAAGTTTAAAGAACCTCTACATAATGTAGAATTTCTTTAAAGTTACTAAAGGTTCTTCACAGTCACTGACATGGTTCTTTAGAGAACTGACAGTGGCTTTTCAATGGCATCACTCAAAGAAGTCTTTGTGGAACCTTGTTTCCCTTTTTATATTTCCACTGCCTTTCCTAAAGAAACATTGAAGAGGCTCCTTTTAAGGGTGTATATTTGTTAAATAAGATGTATAAGTGTGAAGAAATGTTTTAAGTTGATATCCAAATAATGTAAAGGTTTTATTTCCTACATGTTCTTCCCTTTTATATTTTCCTTGAGGTCCACTAATAATACTAATACTAAAAACAGTCCTAATTCAGTTTTACATGACCACTTTCCAATCTCCTGTGTGCCTCATTTAGAAGAAACACTCCTTAGAACTTCAGTGTGAGTGGGCGGGGCTAAGCTGCTATAGGCTAAACAGGCGGATATATACAAGTTGATTCTTGCAACATCAGAGAGACAATGAATTTAGAACAGCATGTTTCTGCAGCACAGTTTCCATATGTGGACTCGGTAGTGAATGGTACGTTTTTTTAAACTTTACCAATGTTTATGTATTACTTCAAACACTTTAATTTAAAAAAACAAGAAAAATTTGGTTTAGCATGATTTTTGTTCATAGAATGATGCATTTAGGCCAAGAATCGAGGGCTTATTTTTATGAGCGTACCAAATTTGAACCCTAAATGTTCCAGCACTCAGCCTGTAAGAGCACAATTGATATCATGAAAAAACACCAAGGAGCCAAAGGAGATCAGGAGTAGGAGGAGGAGGATGAGGAGGAGGAGGAAAATTCTGAGCCAATGTCCCACACATCAGTGCCCTTGTGGAGAAAATGGAGGACATAACTGGCCTCATTCAGTCTTGATTTCCATACCTGCTTCTTCACAGTCACTGTGGTGATTGATGACAAGGAGCGGACTTGATTAGCGAAAAAGGGGAGCAGCTGTAACAAAGTGGCCTCGGCTCTCCACGTGGACTCCTCTGTTTCTATTAACACATTCAATTTGAGAACACTAATGAAAATGCCATTGGTGGGGATGAAAGGTGCGATTAAGCAAAGACGCACCTCCTTCAGACTCACAATGGTGCTTGTTCATGAGGTGGATATTTATGCAGAGTGGTCCTCTCAAGCTTTTGAAGAGCTGAAAAGGGAGATATTTTTAAAAAAAGGCGTTTGGTGTTGCATAAAGGGAGACTGGGGATTTGGAGCTCTTGTGGCGAACCATTAAAGGGATAGTGGTGGAATATGAATGTGTTCTGTCTCTCTCTTTGTTTTTTTTTTACTCGTGCTAAGAAAAGAAGATCAAACCGACCATATGGTAGAGCAGTTAAAACAGTTTAGGACCTGCTGCACGGCTGAGCGATTAAACTAAATTACCACAAGCGCAAAAACAGTGCTCACAGAATAGGCCTTCCTGTTTCTTAAAAATGACACCACTGCGACAAAAATGGTAGTCAATGAAACATCACTGCCTGCTGAGCGCATGCGAACAATGGCACCTCATTGTGCAAAATGATCAGGTAGCGAGGGTATTGATATTTGCAGTGGGGTTTGTTTCAATGATTTTCTACAGCAATTCACAGGCCTAATGCAATATATCTAATGATTGAGAAGGACACCTTTTTATATACCAAGCTACTGTTTCCATTTTATGTCCTATACGATTTCAGCTTAATACAAAATACAAATAAATGAGGCAGACATAGATGACAGTGTCTATATGCATAAATAATGAGACAGGACACAAAGAAGTGTGTAATATTAGTATAATGTCATTTTCACACAAAGCCAGCATTTACTGAGGTGACTGAGGAAACAAGAGGAAAATATGCTGCGGTGTTCATACAGCACTGTGAAAAAGTCAGAGACCACCATTTACTGAATTCCCAGTCAAAACGGCTTTTAAATACAAGTCAGACCACGCCAGAGGCCCAGACTTCAACAGCACTGAATGTGCTTGAAATGACTTGGACGGTGAGAAACAGAAAATGCAACCAACTTCTAAGACTGAACTTTAGAGGTGTGGAAAAATATCCCTTTCTTTGAAACACTGAAATCAAGACTCCTGAAAAGAACGGAAGCTGTAATAAAGGTACAGGGTGGACACACTAAAATATTAAATATGTTTCGTGCTTTGTTTCCTCCTGACACTGAGAACTGAATCACTTGTAATTCATGGTCATTTTAACTGGAAATCACATAAATAAAGGCTCTCTGACTTTTGCATAGGACTGTACAGCTACAATCTGTTAACCCTAAGGAAGAGATGTTTGCCATTTCTATTGTAACCTCAATTACACTACATGTTCTGACTTCCAAAAATTAAAACATTGCTCATTCAAGGTGAAAATAGCTGCAACACATTTTTATCCACAACAGACTTAATGGAAAGGGAAAAAGGTTCTCTCCATTAGCTTGTGTCAACTGAGACACATGAAAAGCTAATTATTGCTATCTAAGCATCTATTTTTCTTTCCACAGGCAAATTAGACTTGTTCAAACCACAAAACAGAGAGCAAGAGGTGCATCTCTTCATTATGTGGGGCTTAAGAAAGTCTAACTGTTTATCCAGAAGAGCTGGTTTAGGATGATAACCCTAATACATTTATACACAGACTTATTCTGCTTCCTCTGTAGAGGATTCAAAAGCAGGTCAACATTATCTTGAAGCAGCTACTCGATATTAATGAGAAAACACTGCTGTTGATGAGGGAAGGCTTTGGCTAGTCCATTCCAGACCAATATTGTAACAGGACAACGCACTGCCCATTTATCATCTGTAGTACTATATAGGTTCATTAAAAATGAAGAAAAAAAGACTGACATTAGAAAGAAGGAAGACTTTGCAATACTTTGTGACAGCACTTCATAGACGGTTAACAATTTCTTTAGTATTTCTTAATCTGCACACTTCCCTTTGCCTGCACATGTCGGTTTTAGTTTAGAGTTAGGGTAAGTGCTAGACTTACACATCTTGGCAAGTGAAAAACATCTTATATTTACACAATATGTCTAAATAATCTCATTGTTAGATGGTTCGAAGAATGTTGTAAGATGACAACCTATTTTTGTATATGTTTACCTGTTTTAAGTCATTTAAGTAAAATTTCCTCACTGTATATGTTAATAGTATACTTTACTACAAAGTTATAAGTAAGTTCACAATTTGAGGTTTTACGTAAAGATTTTAAGTTTTCAGAAGAAAAATTTGTAGATTCGAAATATATTTGTTGATTTACTGAGGCGACTGGTTACCCAACTTTTTTTTTAAAAATGCTTGAAGGAAGTAAAATAAAAATTAGTGTAGAAAGATCATTTTACTGTCAGAACAAATATTTCTACCCCTAAAAAAAGTTTACAGGAAAGTAAAAAAACGTTCATAATTTAGAAGTCTATGTAAAAAGATTTTGGACCACACTGCAAAAATAGTATCTTGTCAAGTAAAATTATCTTAAATCTACTCAATATATCCAATATTTCTCCTGCTGAGATTGTTGTAGGTTTATTGTAAGACATTTATTTTATTAAGTAAAATTATCTCACTATATGGGCAGATAATTTCACTTGTTTTAAGAAATGTGCTTGAAAGAAAGTTATCTGCCAGTATAGTGAGACAATTTTACTTAATAAAATTACTTAAAACAAGCAAAAATGCTTGGAAATAAGTTTAATGATCTTATAAAGTGTACAACCATCTCAAAGTAAGAAATATTAGACATATAGAGTAGAATTAAGATCATTTCACTTGACAAGAGACTAATTTTGCAGTGCAATTCTGTTTGTCCAATAATTACAAAATTTTCACACAATGTAAAGAATATCTGGCATTTGTAAATTATGTAAAAAACACAGGTCGAATAATCTTATAATATTCATACAACAAAATATCATTTTCATAATGATGATGCGTGGTTCTGAGCATATCATGGGTATTGCCAGTATTTTCACAACACTTACTCACACAAGCTTCCAGTAGGTGTAGCTATCTTGGGTTTTGCACTATTGTCAGGAGATGGTGAGTTCAAATCCGGACAACGTCAGGAGTCCAAGAGAGCATAACTAGCCCTGCTTAATTCAAAGTTGTCATGTACAGTATCTGAAATGTTGAAAAACAAAACCAAAAAAACCAAAAAAAACAAAAAACAAACAAAAAATTGTACTCACAGGTTTTATTAGAATTTTTTTTAAATGTGGTGCTGCTTTTACTTGTGTGAAATACTGTGATACATATTGTGTATCATGAAAATCTTTTTTGTTATGTATTTATTATAAATACATTAGGATTGTATTTATTATTATATTTATTCTGATATTATATTCTGGCCAAATCACTCAGCCCTAATATATTGCGTGCATTTTAGATGCTTTCACTTGCCAGGATATCATGTTTGCAGCATAAACCTGGCCCTTAGCCGAACACTAACTTAAAATCGACAGAGGTTTCCCTGCATAATGAACAACTATCTAAAGGGTACAATCTAAATAAAGTGGAAGGCAATTATCACAGTGTATGTGGTCATTTAACATATGATTTTTCACACTTTTTTTCACACGTAGACTATCTGCACATTGAAAATCAGCTGGTGCTGCTACGACTCAACTCCCCGTACAACGTCTCCACATTTTAAAGCACACAGCACAAGTAGATTTAGTTACTGAGCTAATTAGTCAGTGGTTTTGAAAGGACTTGTTCAGTAGGCCTGATATCACACCTAACTCTTCAGCTTAGCTTCTGTCCCTAAGATACAATGATCATCTAAATCATCTCATCTTTCTCTAAATATGTGCTTTTGAAAAACCTTGCATGACGAGCTGAATTAACACAGTCAGCAAATAAATACAACAAACAAGATGTTACGTTTTCAAAAAAGTGCTTGTCTTTTACAGATTAAATAGCGCAGATTAAACGTATCTCACTTCTGGTAGATGGTCAATGTAACTACTTACAGCAAACATCAATAAACATTATATATCATGGTCATTAACAATATACCCCATGGTCAATTTGATAGCAGTATGTCACTATAATGACAATTTTTCCTTTGGGACAGTGGTGAAGAGCAATTTCAGTAGTTATAATAGAGTAATATATTCTACTCAGGCATGGTGGTTTTTATACACAGCTTTCGAAAAGCTTGGCAACCTAACCTTAGGTTAAAAGCAACTGTTGGATTCACTATAGCTAGTGTTAAAGTGTGAAAACCTAATAATCTATGCCCAAAATATGGATGTTATCCATTACATTAAACATGGCACACTAGAATGTGTGTCCACGTTTAAAATGACCCTGATAACATTTTGAAATCTTGAACAGCTCATCTGTGGGTAAAGGTGAAGAAACAGAGGGAGCGGGAGGAAGCGTCTGGCAGACAGGTCTTCGGCAGAGGCTAGTGGAGAGGCAGATGTGCGCTGAGTATCAATCTCTTGGTGAATCAATGATGGTGTTTCAGTAGCAGTAATCGATTTCCTCATTGGCCAGAACAACAGCTGTTCTGCAGGGAATGTAAACCTGAGAGAGGGAGAGGAAAACAAAGTAAGAGTCAGAGACCCACTTCTGAGAATAAAAACTACTCAGAGAGACAAAATGCTGCAGTTTGAAACATGTGTTCATTGACTAAAGATGAAGAGATTATGGGTCAAGAGGAAAAAACACTTCAGTTACAGCTGCAGCAGCGGTACAGCTGTGAGATTTGTTTTCATACAATATAAAACACAAGAGGATCATGTATAGATTGAGTCATCAGTTGATTACGTCCATCTACCTTGTATCAACACCTATTGACCATTTTATCAGAAACACAGAGGTGCACTTTGTAGGGTTACAATTACTGACTGCAGCCCATCTGTTGATGCACAATTTATCAGACCCTCTCTAACCCACCTATCATTAGAGAGGGACCACCACGGGCCGGTTATGATTTGGGTGGTGGATTACTCTCAGCACAGCAGTGACACTGACATAGAAGCAGTAGGTTGTGTCTGTTGAGCTATATGTGGATCAGACATTGCATACACTCAATGGCCAATTTATTAGAAACAGACAACTCGTGATTCCACTTTGTAAGGGTAGAGTCAGGCTGCATTTACACTGGTAGTCCAGTTTCCTTGAAAAAGAGTTACTTGAAAAAGTTACTTGTTACAACACCATTTCCAAAACGTTGGGGCACTCTGCAAATTGTAAATAAAAATACAATGCAATGATATGCAAATCATTTAAACCCTATATTTACTTGAAAATAGTATAAAGACAACATATCAAAGGTTGAAGCTGAGAAATTGTATCGTTTTTCTGAAAAATGTATGCCCATTTTGAATTTTATGCCAGCCACACATTTCAGAAAAATTGGGACAGGGGCAACAAAAGACTAGTAAAGATGTAGTAAAGATGTAGATGTGTAATGCTAAAAAAAGCTAGAAATACATAAAAACGCCTAGTGGAACATCTACAGTTCAAGAACAACATAAAATAGCAAAGAACTTGGAGATCCCATCATCTACAGTACATAGTATCATTAAAATATTCAGAGAATCCAGAGAAATTTCTGTATGCATAGGACAAGGTTGAAAACCAATTTTGTCTGACTGTGAACTTTAGGCCCTCAGATGGCACTGAAGAAACCATATAAAAATAGGATACAGAAACGCCACCACCTTCTCTGGGCCTGAGCTCATTTAAGATGGATCAAAATCAGAATCGAAATTTGAAATTGTTTTTGGAAAACAAGGATGCCGGCTGAAGAGGAACGGAACCATACGGCTTGTTATCAGCCCACAGTCAAAAAGCCAGCATCAGTGATGGTATGGGGGTGCATTAGTGCACATGGGATGGGTGACCTACACATGATATATACAGGTTTTGGAGCAACAAATGTCATCCAGACAACTTTTTTTTTCAGGAAGGACCTTACTTATTTCTGCAAGACACTGTCAAACCACATTCTGCGCGTATTACAGCATTTCTCCGTAGTAAAAAAGTCCAGGTGCCTGCAGTCCAGACCTGTCACCCATTGAAAACATTGGCCGCATTATGAAATGAAAACTGCACCAAGGGAGACCCTGAATGGTAAAACATTTCAAAAGCTTTCTTAACTTTTAATTCATGTTAACAAAATTAAATGTTGTTCCAAGTTTCAGAGCAGTGCTACTGATCCATTCATTACATTTTCACATGATGTAAAGGGCAGCTGTGCTGTTCAAAAGATGAAGAAAGGTAAAGCTTGACAGCTACAATATTTGACATTAAACCAAAGGATGTAAACAAAAGTCAAAAAAGTCAACTGATTGGACAGAATGTGACAATAACTGAGAACGTTCACTGATCTTTCTGAAACATGACATACTCTGGCTTAACTGAGCTCATTAATTCATGTATGTCTTGTTTCATCTCTGTTTTGTGATATTTTATCCATCCACATATTATAGTTCTATAACTTTTATAGGAAGTCGAATGCTTGGAACATTAATATTTCAAATAAATGATGTGGTGATATGCTTACCGCCTCTATAGTGTGTTTTACAATGGCATTAAATGTGCCTCAGCCTTGTTTTTAAAAACGTGACTATCCATTCAATAATTCAGAGCTCATTAGTAGAGTTTCAAAACCCAAGTGTCACAACAGTGTCAGAAATTCTTCTGTTGCTTGTGCCAAGGAGGGCACCAGACTACTTATTTGATATACACCAGAGCAGGAACGTGGGAAGGTGTTTTAAGTTACTGAAATTTTAAGCAGCATATAAGTGACTTGGTGATGTCATGCAAAATGACATTTTTCCAATTAATTTGTTATTATAATTTATATCAAACAAAACATGTCATAATGTGCCATTAAGTGGCAAAAAATGACAATACACCCACATGACAGACAAACATACTGATTTCTGTGTTCTTTCTCCTCCTGGCCAAACTTTATGCAAATACGTGCTGAGTGGTGTCCAATCAGACAGTTGATTTGTGGCGTGGTAATCGATTGTGTCACGCACACAGTCACATACTGAGATTTAAATGCATACTGAGTGAGAGATATAATGTTTGATAAAATAATGTATTCGACATGCAGAACACCATTACTCCTTCCTAAAAAACAATATTAGGCTAATCTGCAGATAAGAAATGGTCTCTTCACACTTTCCCTCTTTGAACTTCAACTTGCGTGTGTTTCAGTGACATGCCCACAAAGCGCCCAATAGTTGTTGAGGAAAGTGATTAGGTGCAGGCCTCTGGCCTACCATTAGCTACAAGAGGGTTTAAATGAAGTCTATGAAATACACGTTACATATAAGTTCTGCTTTTCTTTTACAATGTTACAGAAATTGATGGCAAACTGTACGTATCACAGACATGGCTTCATGTAATCCAGTCGGTAGCAAATAATAGTTACATTGCTGGGGAATACAGCTATTGTTAGCAGTGGCTTCTAGCTAGCATAGCTAGCTAAATATGAAAAAAAAAAACAGGAAATGAGGTTTGCCATTTAAACACACATTTAATTATTAATATTACTTTTTGGGTATACTAATTTAGTTTCATTTATTCTATGTATATAGAAAATGTTGTTTAAAGACCTGATGAATGAAGTGTGATATTGCTGAGGGCCCCCAAATGTTTAGAAGCCCTACTCCTGTTCTGCACTAGTGGTCGGTTTCTGATCATTTAGTAACAGATGCCTAAAACAGGCCTGTTATCCAGCAGCCCTGCTGTGCCTGACACACACACAGCAACACAATACACACTAAAATGCCACTAACCATGTCAGTATCACTGCTGTTCTGAGAGTGGCCCACCATTCAAATAATATCTGCTTAGCAGATCTATTTTATAGATAGATATATTTTATAGGTAGATATATTTTATAAACTGGCCAGTGAGAGGAGGTACAGGTAGACATACCTGATGAACAGGCAACACAGTGTACATGTAAGCAATAAAATATATAATGATACAACAGATAACAAAACTCAATTTTCAAGAGAATAAAGTTGCTTGCATGAATTATTAAAAGGGTTTTGGATCTGGTGGAGAAAACTGCCTGCTGCTGGTGAGTCTCACCACTTGACCCATTATCAATTTGGGGTTTGCTGCTATTGCATCAATATGGCTGCTCTCTCTCTCTCAGACACAGCATGAGGCAGAAGTGAGTGAAAACCCCTCACAGCTACTGTTAAGAGTTTAATATCAACCTGTCTTTCTCCTTCAGGTGACCTTGTACGCTATATTATGTTTTCTCAGGTCCCGTTCTATTTCCAGCTGTGCTACTGCAATGATCTGGACATGAGCGGTCAGACTTGTAAAACTGCTGTTCTCCTTGCAAGAGCTTTGCAATTTCACTTGTTCTGACAACCTGCAAACATGATCAATCATTTCCCACTGAATTTAACCAATTTCCAACCTACTTTAACAGAAGACAGTGACCATGCTATAGGCTTCTCCAAGACCTTCCTAGTGGAGTTACCTTCCAAAGGAAAATGGCAAAATCAAAGCAGCTTTTCTGCAAAGGAAAATGGCAAAATCAAAGCAGCTTTCTATTAAAGATATTGGGTTCCTGGAAACTGACACAGAAAACATGCTTGTTTAATGATAATTAGTTATACTGTGATAAAAAAAGTCAGGTCAAAAATCTCAACTTCTCAAATTCTGTTCTAAAAAAAAACAAAAAAAAACCCCCAAAAAAAACAAACATGTTTAGTACTGCGTCTCAGTTAGGTCAATAAAAAAAGTCCAACAGCTGAGCTTATTAAAAAAAAATACAGCAAATGTAGTGAAACTGCTTAAATTTTGGGTGAATTTTTGCTCAGTTCCTCCCTCCAGATGTTTAGATGTCACCATTCCCCATTAGCAGACTACCACCCTCCTAGCATGCAGAAGAGATCATGTATTGAATCCTGGCATCACCTCAGCTGTCAGGAGTCTAAAAGGAGTCTTCTTTTTGAGCAAGTTCAACTTAAACTGAATTTTGTTGAGCTATCTTAGATAAAGTACTGATAATGTAAGTTAGTTTATTATTTATTTGACTAAACTAAGTTGATAAATAAACAAATAAATAAAAGGCTGTGCAGACGTAAAACGTCTTACCGGCAGTGTACATTGCATACACTGAGGCCGAAAGGAATTGTGGGACTAGTCTCATCTAAGACGGTGTGAGCTGTCTCCAAACTCTGCATTGTTTATGACAACGCTGGAAGTTCAGTCCCCACAGCAGCACTGCAGAAGAAACGCCTCAGCTGCATGAGTCACTTGGGGACTGACAACCTGTAATTCTGCTTTAATGCTATTTCGAGAGAGCCTCGTGCAGCTCACTAAGCAGAACAGAATCAGTTAGCATGCTAAACAATGAAGCCGGTGGAGCAGAGTTAACCCCTGGAGTACAAGCCGCAGCATTGTGCATCAGCCCCACCCGGCTCCGCCCACCCATGAGCTTTCCCTCCTTTAGATTGTTCCTCTGACGCACGCCAGTTAACAGGGAGCAAACACCGCCAAACTGCAGAGTCGACTCCACAGGGGCGAGAGAGGCA